AAAAAGATCTGTTTAAATGAAAGTGAAGTTTGGCGAAAAGTTGTTTCAAACAATTATTGTCACGCTTGTAACACAAGGTTTGCCGTCTTCTTTCCTCTCCCGTCCTGTTGCGTAAGTTCACTAATATCCCGCTCGGACGAAACAACAATAACAAAAAAACTTGCGGGGAAAAGGAGGGCGGAAAGTTAACAACAACAAGAAATAATTATGGCTAACATTCCTCAAATAACTATATATTTGAATTCATGGTAAATACAGCTCTACTAGTTTCAAACAGCGTCTAATGGCAGAATTTCACGCAAATAATACTTTAAATATAATAATTTCCCCGATTAACCGGTTATCCTTGGCAGCGTGGAACAAAGGTCTGGGAGCCGGCCTTCCGCGCTGATGGTCCATGACTCCAGGTTCGACTCTCGACTTAGCTGTTTTTTTTTCTTTGTTGTATGTATATATTTTCGTTTTGTTTTTGTGTTTGTTTTTAATCACATTTTTCCCCTTGGCCTTTTCCCCTCTATTTATACTGCTGGCCCATTACAGCCTCGCGAGGTTTTTTAGTGCGATAAACGTATTTCTAGTAATGTTCATATAACATTGCCTTATTCTTTCACTGCGCATGCACTGCCTATCGAGATATGAAGCACTTGGAAAGTTCAGAGAGCACTCAAATAAAGTCTCAAAACGATCGCCCATCTTCTGAAATTCCACACGAGCGCCGTCCAAATTCGCGTGTTCCCGCGCGAGTGAGTGACGTTGAGGGTGGCACAGTTTGTTCTGAAATTAGCACATTTGCAAGAATATGTGTCTTGTCTGTGTCATACAAAGATAAAAGAGTAAGCTATAATAAGCAAACTTTATAGAAAGCTTGAAAAAAATTCCTCCCAACGTTTTTTTTCGGAACTCGACATTAATTGAATCGTGCGAGATTAAAACTGTACAAAGGCTTTGTACAAGAGCTATTTACCCACAAATTGTCAGAAAATTCTACCACAGCCTCCAATATTTATGTATTTCAAAAAGCTTAAGTTTACGTGTGTTGATGTACTGCGAGATCGAATTATGCAAAACCAAAAGTAAACTTAGCAGACATTTTTCAAAAACTTACGCTTATATTAGTATAGGTAATAGCACGATTTATAGCGATATTTGGCATAAATACCTCGAGCGATATTTCAAAATCGTCATACTTAATTTCACGAGCCGTTAGGCGAGTGAAATTTGAGACAATTCTGAAATGTCACAAGTGGTATTTATGCCAAATATCAGGTACAAATCATGCAATTATTTGTTTATACTACTGCCCGCGAAAGGTTTGTAATTTTCACATGTGGGTATTTCAAATTAAGCTTGAATACCACTGTTCTAAGCCAATCAAATTGCAGCAATATTTAATATATTAGTATAATCAAATAAAGAAAGACATGTTGAGGATCATTTTTATTCCCCACGTATAGTTAAGTGACGCGCATATTTCTGTGATTGACAGTTTAACATAAGAGTCACCGGATGTGAAAAACATTTTTTGGGGGTTGTTGGAAAAATAAAGTCGTGGTGATTTCCCTTTACATTTGTTGAATAGATTTTTTACGAATAACGAGTGGAACCAAGGGAAATACATTAATTTGGTCCTTCGAGCAGAATCTTGAAACAGAAAGTGGAATAGAAGCTGGAATTTTGGAGGAAAAACGAGTTACAAGTCATCTTTGGATCAGGATTGTGGCGCGTTGGGCAGCGTTTGTTGTTTATTGTTCTTTTTTGGTAAAGTGACAAGAATTTATCTGACGAAATTTTTGTGAATTTTGAGTGGAAAGCCAGTGTAAACATGTTAAACAAAGAAGAAGATTCAGTTGGGGACTCTTTATTGTAAGTGGAAAATTTGAAAGCTGGAAAACGCAAGTTGAACGCGTCGATAACAAGACAGCTGAATGAATTAGTCGGCTGCGCCACCGTTGCTGGCGTTGAGATATAAAGTCCAGAGGAAATGGAATAAACGAGGGCCTTCCAGGGGTTTTAGGGAACAAGGGATATCTTAAAATAACTTTTAGGGAACAAGGGAACTGTTGGGTTATAATGGAGAACAAGGGAACATTGATTTCCTAAAATGTTACAAGTAATAAGAAGTACGAAAGAATATCCAAAATGTATAAAAAGCAAACACACAAAAAACCATTTAAACTGACTACAATAAAAGTTACAAGCAAAAATCGTCCAGGGCTTTCCTAAATAAAACTTTAGAATTAATGTTTCTTAAACTTAATGGCAGTGAATTAAATATCGAGGCGCCTAAAAAATAAAAACTACGGCGCGCAAAATCCAGTCTCACCTTCGGCAGTTTTGCTGCTTTCCCATTGTTTCTAGTGTTTAAAGCATTCTGGTGAAATCGTTGAAAAAATTCCTAAACGGGAAACATGCAGCCCATTCTTAGAAGGCAGCCAAATACAAAACGGTACTCTTTCCTTTGCAAAAAATTATTAAATTATTAAAAATCGAAGATCGAAGCTTTTCTGACTGGGAAAATGATTTCGAGGCTTCGTTTCTCAATGGAGCGGATCATGCGTTTGCGGGACTCTGATTATCCAGGACTATTATAGCCGCAATACGTAAATATTGACATAATCATCGATTGATGAGTTCGTTGGACATTGACAGTATCAATGCTGGAACGGATGTGCTGTAAGAGGTTCACTCTTCCTGTTACCTTCTGCAAATTTGTGAAAATGTGTTTCAAAATCAATGTGTAAGAGGAAAAAGGTCCTTTCCGACGACAAAATATTACAATTTATCTCATTTTTCGGGCCCTGGGGACAAATCATAAATTGTGTTTTTCGCAGAGAAACTGGGGAAAATATGCCGAAAAATAAGCGAGGGGCATCACACGACTCCTGCTCTTACTAGTATTGAAAGTTGTATGAGCGTCAGAGCATCGTTCTATAAGCTAACTAATAGGTCCTTAAGAGATTTTCCTTTGTAATAAGGGAGGGGAGGCTTCTTAAAGATTTCTCTTATTCGTTGTTTGTTTTGTATAAGGTGTCATTTCGATTCTTCATCAGTATTCTCGTCAGGCTAGGTAAAGCCGGGTGGTACTGTGTAACAAAAGGTAGAAGTTTTTTTTTGGCAGAAATGCAAGTTAATTCTAACACCAGCTTGTTTAACAAACATGGTAAAAGTGGGGTAGGAAACCTAGAAAGAACTCGTATTCCAACACTTAGTGGGAACAAAACTGAATTTCAGCACTGGAAAGCAACATTCACGAGTTGTGTGGATGTATTCTGCTCAGTTCAAAATGTTGACATTTGTTAAGATTGGAGGCAATATTGTTTGTCAGACGAAGTCTTAGAAACGATTAAAGGTTTAAGATATTCCGAGGCTGCTTATGAAGCGGCAAAAGCGAGATTAGTGAGGACACACGGAGGAAATAGACGGGAAATCCAGTGCCATGTAGAAGAGTTGCTTAAAATGAAACCTCTGAGACGGAGAAGAAAATGCCCAAAGAATTGCAAAAATTTGCAGACATGCTGGAGCAGGCTGTAATCAATTTGCAGAAAAACAATAGAGAGGCGGAATAAGAAGCAGAAACACTTTACACCTTTAGTCTAAAACTACTAGCCGCTCACTAGCTTAATATTCTCGATGGGTTAAGGATAAAATCAGAAGGTTGAGTCTCTAATTATACTCAAAGATTGGACCGCCGAAAAGGCTGAATATCAGATGCAAGCCACAGAACTTAATCATGGTTTGAAGTCAGGAAAACCCCCTTGGAAGTCAGGCGAGAGAAGGAGTAGATCCTATGGAACTAACCAAGTTGATGGTAAGAGGAAAGGTGCGTAAGAAGAAAGGTAAGTGCGAAAGGTCCACGAAGTTCGAGAATGATCATTGTGTGGTAGCAGTCTTGAAAACAACAGGCCGTTAGCTGAGAAACGCCTAAAATCAACCGAGCGAAAACTGGTAAAGGACCCAGCAAAAGCTGAGGTTTATCAGAAGGTTATCGAAGCATATCTAGAGAAGAAAGACATTCGTCGAACCAACACCCACCTTGATTCCCTAATTTCCCGTTGTACGACCTGACAGGTCTACGACGAAGACAAGGATTGTCTTTGATGTTTCCGCTGAATTTCAGAGAAAAATTTAAAACAGCGAAGCCTTGCCTGGACCAAAATCGCAGACAGACATGTTTAGTATCCTTTAGTAAAGTCAGTCAACAGAGCAATTTACGCAGTTCTAGGCCAAACCAACGTTAACGACGAGGAGTTACAAATAGTGTTTACAGGAGTCGGAAGTTTGTTGAATTCCAGACCCTCAACGACAGTCAGTGTCAAT